TGAGCTCCAGCACAGAGCTGACCTTGACTAGCTATTGACATTGTTCTATTTTCTCCAATTGGTTTTAAAATCTAAAGTTAAATATCTTTTGAGAGAAGACAAGAAATGTTTTGTTTTTCTAGCTATTGCCATGGATGGGGAGAGGGGACAGAGAAAAATGCACAGAAATTGCAACAACTGTACAGCTTTTGCTTGTTGAATTGTTATCTGAGATGTTTCAGGGTGCTTTCTTTTTGGTCATAATCTTTCTGCTTGCGCATGCTGTGCATGTGTGACCAGGGAAAAAGAATATATTCTAAACCAAATCTCAGCATGTCTCAGTGGGGAAAAATGAAAAGGAGAGGAAGAAAGAGAGAGAGAGAGAGAGAGAAAGATTATCAGCCAAGAATACTTAATGACACTTCAGAACAATGTGTAAAGGCCTTTAGTGATAACTGTCCATAGTCTAGAAATGAGTCACTGGATATGTAACATATTGCAGTAACTAATCATGTGCTCTACAGTGAGGAGGAGTATTCTTGGCTACTGTGTTTGTTGGAATGGATCCCTTTTGAATCTGACGTATTGTTGTATTATACTATTCATGTACAGGAATCAGTTATAGAAAGCTGTACTGTGCGTTGAAATGCTCTGCTTTGCTGTTGTCTCTTAAGCAGGAAGTGTAAGAGATCTCTCATTTCAAATTGCCTGGAGTAGTGCCTGATCTCCAATGTCAGTTTGCATTGTCCGTCATAAAGCACAGCTGCTCATCACACCATTCCAAACAAGGAAAGAAAAATGCAGATTACTCGACAGGATCCTCAAATAGAGAGTAGAGGTGCAATTTCATTTTCCTCTGAGCTGGTCTGATTTACATTAGGTGAGGTAATGTCCCTATCATTTTCCATCACCTTAGGTCCTGTAAACTGAACACTGTGACCCACATTGTGAAATACTGTGAAAATATGCATCTCTGTTTTCCTCAGTGCTGGGAAAATGGAACAAACCTCTGCACGTGCCTTACAGTGAATATTATACTCTATTTTAAAATACCATTTATCTTAAAGACCTCTTTCATGTACCTGGAATGGAAGCTGTCCTTCAAGGGGAACAGGAATCCTGTGGAAAATGGTAGATCTGCAGAAACTGTATCTTTTTTTTTTTTTCCTAGAAACAGAAAAATGATGTGTAGATTTTATTATTCTAACTTATAGCCCAGTTATTTGTCTCACCTCTCTGACAGATAAACTAGTGCTCAGCAGGAGCAAGTGTTACAAATAATCAGTTTGCTATTTATACGCTGAAATGGGGAAACACATTTATGGGTAACAATAATAATTAGAAAACACTTATAAAAAGCTGCTGGGTTGCTATTTGGTGCCTCTGGAGTGAGCAGCTGTAAGAAAGCAAAAACAATCAGTGCAACTTCAGAGAGACTGGGAATGGGTTCCATGAGCTTAAATTGTCAATAATAAAGATGTAACAGCTTCCAAGCAAATTAAAGTCTTGATGATGTTCCCATTTAAGTGAATTAGTCTTTCCACTAATTTTAATAAAAGTTGCCCTAAACGTTTAGGGTACTGATTTGAATACATGAAACAAAATCATTTGACACACAAGGAGTGTGTCATAACTCTCCTATTGGAAAGGCTATAATAAATATTTTTTTCCTTGCCTTGATTTGCTGCAAGCTTTTCCTCACTGGTATCCCAAACAGAAATATTGACTTCATCTCCCTCCCACTTTTCTTGTTTGGTCCCTCTCTGGGGGATATCCTTTCACTGAGGATTTCAACTTTGCATGCTGTGCAAAGAACCCCTGGAACTTCCTTCCTGATATGGTCTATTAGCAGGGCCGATTTACTAGCAAGGCTGCACAATCATTGCCTGTGCTGTTCCATTTTGTGCAGCAGGGTTATTATACAGCACTGATCTCCTGTGAGAGCAAATAATTCATATACAGGAAAAAACTTTCAGAATGCTGCATGTGGTTCATGTATTTTTTTGTGTCTGCGTGGCTGTGTTCCTTTTGCTGTTGCTGTGGACAACTTTTGCAGGGGCTGGTATGAGAGCTCAGGGTATTGCAGTCAAGTTGCTTGTTAACTTTTTCTCTCAAAGTTTTAAATGGAAGTCGAGGGAAGGGGAGAACGGCCCAGGTCTCAGAGCTGTTTTGAGAGCGCTGCACAGCTCCTGCCTGGTGGTAACACTAGCACTGACTTTCAGCACTACTTTGCCACCAGCATACGTGAAACCATTGTAAGACTGTTGAAGGTAATGTTGAAGCACAAAGGAGCAGCAGGGACTTGGTGCTTTAGGAGTGACAGAGTGCATCTCCTGATGAGTTTGGGAAAATTTTACTGTTGGGAGAGATACCTTACTGAGGTACCTACTTGTCACTGTGGTAAAGAAAAGGATGCTGCTCTGAGGACTAGTCATAGACTTTGTCCTGGTAGCATTTCAAGTCATGGCAATCTCAGTTGTGTAAGTTTTTTCATGTAACACTTATGGCCCCGGGTTAGCTCTCATAGACATCTGTGATGATGAACATGATTGAGGTTGGACTTTGTCTTACAAGTCAGGTCATAAATCTTTCTTCTGATCATTAGCATGTTATTTTGATGCTGCAATGAATGATTACTCTAGCAAGTTTGATACTGTTTTGTATTGAAATTAGTGGTGCCTTGCCAATGTGTGAGGACAAGCAGTTGCATCATTAGATCTTAAAATCAAACCTGCAAGCAGCAGCAAATGATGAGAATTACTGATGTAAAGTTCATACTTTAGGATTATCTGAATAAAACTTGTTCCTTGCTGTTGATTTTTTTTTTCTTCCTGCCAGTGTGTTACGTATTTATTTGGTCAAATGTGTAAAACTGTCATGTTGTGAACATGGTACGTGAAAGTGAATTGTATTCTGTAACAAAATTCCAATGTCTATCTACATCAAAGAAAATTCCTCTTTCCTACTCAGTTCTTGTTAGATACTAGCAATACTATAGCAATACTATAGTATCTAGCAATCATGTGACAAGTTGCATGGCTTTATATAACACAAAGGTTACTACCATGGAAGTGACACACAAAATATGCATACTAGAGGGAAAAAGTACTGTACAAGAGAACCTGAAAAACATATTCACAAACATGCATGCCAGGAATGAGATTGAATGGTGAAAATGGGAAGGAGGAAGAATAGGACTGGATGGGAGAAGAAACTAATGGGGAGAAATGACTCTGCTCAGCTTTGATTTGTCCCTGGAGTGATGAATGAGATCAAAATGTTTGACAGCTGAATAACTGAATAGTGTGGAGTTTGTTCCCCTGTCAGTTAATGGAGTAACAGAGGCAAATCCACACGATAATTCAGCGCTGAAGTCAGGGTTCCGAGTCTTCACTTTGGAGGAACTCACCCACCACCCCCATATATAAAGCCTGGGGTAACCAACCTCCTAAACTTGGGGATCCAAAACTAGGCAGTCTACAGATCTTCTTCTAACACACTTAATAGGCATAGGGAAAGCATATGTGGCAGGCAGTGGGAGGATTTAATTTTAGCAATTTCTCCACCCTTTCATGCTGAATTTTGTTGCTGTACCAGTTATTTTAAAGTGTGTTTTTATGTGTAATGTAAATATAAAATCAAATACTGGATTGACCATTCCACTCAACAATGTTTTAACAGTCATATCAAATACACCTCAATTATTATTGGCTGTTTTATACTAATAAAATAATAAGCAAGTCTAGGCAGAAACAAAAGAAATCACTGTACTTTAAAAAGAAAGACTCTTAAGATTCATTCTCATCTACGGGCATAACGTCAACTAACAGCACTAGGTTGAGGGTATATTTAGATGTTGTGTGTACGTGTATAAACATCTCATTTTCTGGTGATGAGCTGCAGCAATTGCAGTCTCTTATAATACATAACAGATCTCTGTTCTTTTGTGTGGATGCTTTATAGTTTGGCAGTAAAGCTGATCACCTTTTAAATGTCAAACAGAAAATTGTACAAAAATATATTTTAAGTGTACTTTAAAATCTGGGATTGGTTCTTTATTTTGCTGTTGCTTACTGTAAGAATGGAGCGGAATACTCAGCAGATACTGACCATCTTTTTTTGGTTATACTTTGAAAATACCAAAGCCATTTTTTTTTTAAATAAGGAAGATAATTGCAGAATTTTCTGTGCTGTCTAGATCAAGAAAATGCTGTCTTCGATTTTTGCCTCAACTGCTCACTCATGAAAGAAAAAGAAATCTCATTTCATGGGAGTCATTCAAAGCTTTAATAAACTCAATCTCACTGCATCACTTTGCCCTCAAAATAAATAGTACAATATCCTTTTAATTCTACATACACAATGGCTTAAAAAGAGACAAATGACAAAGAAAAATCTGCATGATAAAAGGCTCCCAAACTTGCAGGATCCCTTCATCAAGAGTTATTATAAAACATTCGCTGCAAACTCCTTCCTTGCCTACCTCTAAGCTGCCTTAAAACCACGTTCCACTGATGACAACGTACAACCAAATTAATCGAAACCATCACCGTTGTCGTCACTGCATCGTTGTTAAAAGCAGCCCTGCTGGGACATGCCAATCTCCAGGAACAAAACTAGAGCAAAAACAATCTCAAGTGGGGGCAAAGTTAGCCCAGAACACCATTGTCTTGCTTTGTCCCTGACTCTGTTTCAGTGTAGTAAATAGCACTTACTTATTACGCATCCCCATTGAAGTTATACAGCTTTTCGAGGGAAAAGAAAGCATTTCGGAATGACTGCCTGAATAGGACTTCAAGTCACCTGTTTCAATGGCTTGTTCAGGGCCTTTTGTAATGGTGGAGAACCCTTGTGCTTGACGCAGGCACCAAGGTACAGGCTCCTTAATTTGTGGAATTAAATGTATGCTTTCAGGTATCCTTCGGGTTTTTTGTTGAAACTGCTCTGTTTTGATTTTGGGTTTGGCTTTTTGTCTGTAAGTATCATTTAAATGCTGTTGTTTATTTTTTTGCCTCTAACAGTATCAAGGACAAAAATAAAGGCGAACTAATCCCACCAGTGCTGAAGCAAACTGTGTCCTACCTAAAAAGAAAAACATAGGTTTTTTTTTTTTTTTGTTTTGTTTTGTTTTTGGGTGTGTGGGAAATTTGTCTTTCAGAATCAGGACAACAGTATGAAACCATATAACTATCTGTGCCTAATTCAGCGAAGTTTATAGAAACATCCTAAATTTGAAGCATATGTTCAAATCCTGAAAACTTGAGTGGGAAATGGGCACTACCTTGAGAGCTTTGATGAATAGGGAAGATTTTATTATCAGATCATTGCCCCCTGGAGGGGGTACTTTTCATCCTGAGGATTAGATTAGGGAATGGCAAGTGAGAAAATATGTCTTTTCTTCAACCTATATTATATTGTTGATTTTAATTAGAACTCCCAGTGAAAAATCAATGAGAAGTTCTGTTTTTATAGAGCCAGTGGCCATAAAAACTCATTGAAAAAACTTCTTTTGCAGGCATAAGCATGAAGTCCTCTCTCCACAAAATATTTTTAGTGTTACGCAGTCAAAGGGCCTTTGACTGCAGTTCATAGCTATAATTGGAGTATACAGAGATACAGATTACAAAGTTCCACATTTGGAGGCAGCTGGCTGTACTGCTGGGCTCCCCAGCGCATACCTGACCAACACTAAGGAGGAAGTATCAGGGGCTATCTCCAGGCCTAGTACGCAGTATTCCCTGCATAGGGAAGAAGGTGCATGCAGGGGGAAAGTCAGAGAGGAGGTTGTAGTCTTGAGAACCACAACCTGATACCTGTTATTTCCCCAGTATAATGCAATTGCACATTTTCAGTCTTAATTTTTTAAGGCAATGACAATAACATTTCCATAGCTTTTTGTGTTCCAAGATCTCAGTGTTTCACAAATGTTCACTAAACCTCACAGTATCAATGAATCTATAAGCTAAGTGACGCTTATCTGACAGGTGACAGAGCAGAAACAGCATAGCACAGTTATATGAATGGCACAAAGTTACACAGTGGTAGAACTGGGAATGATACCAATGATCTCTGAAAAGAAGGGTATAAAATTTTAATAGGTGCCTCTATAGAGGCAAATGAAGAAAATCAAAATGTGTTTGGTTCACTTGTTTCAGAAAAGGAAACATCACCTGGACTTTAATTTGTCATTAGTTTTTACCAAGTTTGAGTAGCGTTTGAACAGATTTGGAAGATGGGCATGATTTTGGTTAAGACAAAAAAAAAACAGGCTTAGATCTGTATTTTACTGTTAAATAGGATCATTTTATCTAAGATTTTCCTTATTTCAAAAGCTTTTTGTATTGACAGCACAAAAATAAAGAATATAATATATATATTTTGAATAAAATTCATCCTTCTGTAGAGAGGCTTACCCAAAACAGATATCCCAGAAAAATCCTGATTCTTAATTTCTATCTTTGAGCTGTCATTCTGAGCAAGGTGAGTTTTGCTTTCAGAATTCGTATATATGCATCATTCCTCTCTGTTCTTTTTAACTACTGCCACCAGGGCTTGGTTTGAGTTTGAGTTTATCTGAGCCCTCAGTGAGAAATTTCAAACTTTTTAAAACGCGTACAGATAGGCCTCACGTGCGTGAAGAAAAAAGCCTGACTGGGAGGGGAAGAAAACCACTGCGTTTCACCTCTAGTGCTGATTGTCAAGAGAAATCCTGGCTTAATTTAAGTCAGTGCAAGTTCATATTGATTTAACTGGTGGCAGAACAGACCCTTAGTGTCTTGCCCTCATTGCTAGGCTATGCTCCTTCATATTTCAGTTTATCCCATATTAAATAAGAACATTAAATAGCTGCCCATTTTATTCCTACTTGTGTTTCGTACCTTGAGCAAAACTAATTCGTGATATGCATAAGGGAATGAGAATCAGTCAGCAGATACCTGCTGACAATTGGCAAGCAGTGGAACATAGCATCCATAAGGGTGCTTGTGTACCGAACAGTTGGCTCCTTTTCCTCATGAAATTGCTGATTTATCTTCCAAATACCTGCAGCAACCAGAGGCCAAGCGTTGGAGTGGGGCCAGTTCTGCTATTACAATATCTACTGATCTGCAGTAGAGGAAGAGTCCTTAATAGACTTTACTGAAGGCCGAAAGTTGAAGGTCAAAAGTGAGGACTTCACTCAAGCTCTTAATGCTGTTTGGATGTGCTGTTTCCAGACTAGTGTTAAAGATGAAAGCTTTGCCGGTGTAGTATGTATCAAATATCTTATGGCAGGATACAGGGAATGTAAATTGTTCACTACTAAGAATGTTTAAGGCAAGTGACTGGCAGCTTGAGACAATCTCTGTAATTATAATTGTAAGTGGATAATTACAGGTTGTGTAGTGTATCAGTGCATGCCCCATCTGCAGATGAAAGCTAGACTTTTTCATGTCTTAAATTGTTATGAAACAATCATCCTTGCATATCTTTAGCTCATCTTAACAGGCAAATACCTCTGCCTTACTAATCCACTGGAGTCAGAGAGCTAAACCAAGGATGCATGTGCACTAGTGTCATTACTTCTCAGAGCTGTTTCTATTTAGAAACTGAGCAAAAATATAGTCACTAAAAACGTTAATTGATTTATACCTGGTGGGGGGAGGAGGTTGCGGCACTTCCCTGGACCCCTTTAAAGATTTTAAAGAAATCAGTATTGTGTGGTCATTATCATATTTTGCTGGTGACTGATGTTTCACTAGTAATTTCGTGTACTGGTTTGACACAAAAGCTCCTACATATCATGTTTTTGTTCTTTCTTGTTGTTTTGTCTCATCACTATTGCACCAGTCCCGTACTCTTACCTCTCGCCAATTGTGGAGTCCAGCTCAGATACCCACAGTTTTCTGAAGCAACAAAATGAACTGTGCAATATAGAAAAAACAAGTTTCAGTTTTCATGGTTGTGATGAAAGAAAGGGTTCTTTCAACCTTGTCATTGCAGAATTTCTACTAGATGAAATATTTGTTATTCTGAAAGCAATCATCCTCCTTGGTTTTTCTCCAGACTTAATTTTTTTCTTTTTTGGCTAAAAATATATCTGTTCAGCGCAGTATTGGCACAGTCTGTAAAGGATAGCCTCTGAGGAAGTGTTACGATACTTCTGAACAGAAGCACTTGTCCTAGTCTGTGGATATATGCAAGTCAGTGGCATGGTGATTCTGGCCACTGATGCACAGTCTAGCCACGCGCTTGCTAGCTGGGCAATCTCATTTTTTCCCCAGCTCTTTGTCTTTACGTGCCTCAAAGAATGAACGGCATGGATTCTGCCAGTGATGTTATTTTCCAACCAAGCACAAATTTGTTCAGAGCTGACATATTCCCTATCATAAGGAGATCTCCACAAACCAGATTTCTAAGGCAAGATGGCTTGTCAGGTAGAGGATTTTCTGACATCCTCAGCCAGCTGATAGTTGAAAGCCAAGTACCTGCCATGCCAAGGCTGTTAACCAAGAGGTGACAGACATGCTTTTTTTTTGCACTTGATTATAAGTGTGCAGGTATCTGTTGTACCTGCTGTCTGCTATGATTTTAACTCTTTATCTCAATCTGGAATATCTCAGTCCTGCCATCAACTTCAGTGAGTGTCGGTTCCAGTGCTGACAGCCCGAGGAGGCTGACTGGCAGTGTTCCTTGCCCTCCAGACGCGATTGTGAGTACAGTGAAAACTTCAGTTCGTCTTTCGGAAGTGACAAAGATTCACTGTTGTTACCCCATTCCTTTTGATTTTGGCACGGTTTTTTGTCCTCGTAGAATTAGCAGGGGGTTGGGTGTTCTTTTGTTTGCTTGCTTATTTTGTTGTTGTTGTCATTTTTTGTTTTTATCCTAGCGCAGTTTTTCCACTCTTTCTTCCTGTTGCTGCCTTTTCACATCTGCATACCTGAAGTCAGTTTCTGAAACTCTGACTTAGATTACAAGCGTTCTGCAAAGTCCTGTTTCATCAACCAGGTTAAGATTTCTTAAAACATCAGTCTCTCTCTAACATTCCTACCTCCATTCTGTTCTACTCAAGTTTTTATTTCTTAAACAAATCTGATGCAGGAGCTGTGGTGGTACTCAAGCTCAGCACCATCCTGCAGTAGTATTCTACCACACTAAGGAAACGTTCGATCTGCAATGTTAGCTAGCCTTTTTCATCTTAGTGGCTCCAATGCCTTTGGCAGGTTGCTGCATGTCATGTTTTTCCTCCCTGATATTTACATTTTCTGCCTCAGTTTCAGACAATGTTATTTGCATGTGCCACAAGTGTTCCTCCCAGTGTGGAGGCATTTTGATCTGTACAAATGTGCCAAAACTCTCCTCTTTGTACCCAGTTATTTATTGGACTCTGAAGACAACAAATGTGCTCTTGTCCCAAAAAGCCAAATTAACATTGTGATAGTGAGTGCTGATTTTCTCCTCATATATTTACCCAACTGCATAGTTAGATAGCTATTGCTGAGCAAGACATCTTCTAACCAGATCCAGTTATTAAGTCACCCAGCATCTTAACAGAGACTAAAGAATCTGCCATAAACAGAGATTCTTGAACATCTATTTCTATAGTCGAAATGAGAACTATTACTGGCTGCTGTCTCCAACTATTACAATAAGTATGATAAACTAAGTTTGTTAATATTTTATAATAATTTTCAAGTTATTTTTTCAACAAAGGAAGAGAAATTGGGCATTTCACGACTTTCATTCTATCTCTACTTTAGAATGAAAGATGTTTTTAATACTGAATTTAAAACTGCTTAATTTCAGTGCCTGCTGACCTTCACAGGGAAGAATTGGTTTCCTAATGTGAGTTCTGAATGCCTGACAAAATCATAAGCTCGTTAAGGCTGCATCATGGAGTCTATCTTTTGGACCAAAACAGGGGAGTACTCTTAATTTCCAAGTAGAAGTGTCAGTGTCATCCTGAACCCAGCTAGCGATTTAGACAGGCAAAAGAGGAAGGATGGGTTTAACATGGCACTACTGGAGAGAGTCCAGTGGAGGGCTACAAAGATGATTAGAGGGCTGGAGCACCTCTCCTCTGAAGAAAGACTGCAAGAGCTGGGCCTGTTCAACC